TACGTTCCAAAACTTCCTCTTCGAGAAAAATTTTATTTTATATGCTATAGTATACGTTACATATACTATATATTTTGAGTAAAATTTTTCTCGAAGAGAAAGTTTTGGAACGTAGCCCTGGGTGTCTGGATGCACTCGAATAGGAAATCTGAACGCAGCCTATCGTGGAACAAAATCGGAATGGATTCCTATCGAAATTATTCAATTATTCTCTAGATTTCTATTGTGTTTTCTAGGGAAAACGGAATAATTCCGATCGGAATCCATTCTGACTTTGTTCCATAATAAGTGCCCTGTACTCAGTCGAGGGCTGTTAAGTCAATGCTAAAAATTGGTCTGAGACCTCGGATGAAGAAAGAATTGACCAATCATAATGATCATGTGATCAAATTGTTCAAATGATTTGTTAATTCTTTTTTTGTTCAAGATTTCGGATCAATTTCTAGCATCGTGGATATCGGACTAAGTTAAGTCTTGTGTTTTCTAGTAACAATTACATGTTATTAATTGCCGTGATTATAAATGAGATTGGAAGATATTAAGTGGTCGACACTTTTATTTTATTTTGTTTAATATATAGATGAAAAAAACTACATTTACTCTAAATGGAACATAGATTCTTGCCTAACACATAACACATAAAGCAAAAAAATTGAATCGACCAGAGTTCTTTATTTCATAGAAAGGAAGGAAATAAAGGACTTTGATTGGTCCATTTTCTTATGCATTTTCTTATGTGTTACGCGTTATGCATAAGAAAATGAACCAATCGAAGTCTTCCGTTTCTTTTTTTTTCATGAAATAAAGAACTCTGGTTGATTCAATTTCTTATGTATATCTCATGTGTTGTGCGTTATACAAGAATCTATGCTCCTCGCTTAAGGAACTCCGCACAATAAAAGGAACAGAGAATAAGAATTTCAACCTATCAAAAATCATGTTTTGTGGACACAGTTTCTGATAAGTTGAAATTCTTATTCTCTCTTCTCTGTTCCTTGTTCCTTTTATTGTGCCTCTAACTCTATCCGAAACGGATCTCAATCATGCACAGCGTACACATTCTGTTCCAATTGAATCGTGCACAATGTTATACTTTGTGCATTCCTGATTTCTGTGTACGTTTGTGTTAAGATGTGTTAAGTAATTGGAAAGCATTCATTAAAAGCTGTTTTATATAAAATATCTCAATGCAGGGATACAATATAATCAAGGGTGCACTCCGTTTCATACATGATGTACATAATGTATCTTTGTTTAACATTCGATGAACAACAAAGATAAATGATGCACATCATATACTGAAATGTACGGAATGTACCTCAAGAGTGCGTTACGAGTTATGATTCATCGTTTTATTATTTGATGAACAACAAGAGACACATGTATATATATATATATATA